CCGTTAAGCCTTGCAAACCGAGGTTCCCCCCCCCCCCCCCCTTTAATTCTAACTTATTGGGACACACCCCATATAATTAATTTTTGGCAGTTTCCCCACGCTTGGGGGGAGAGGTGGTCAACATTCCCCTCCCTTCGGCGTTAAAGACAGAACGCCCCTTAGTTTCAGCCAGACAGAAAATTGATTTAATTTCCGACCCACCCTTCCAAATTTACTTCCATGGTTCCTCCCCCCCCCCCCCCAATTCCCTTCCGGGTCCAGGGGGGGAGCCTCGAGCCAAGCTCGTTAGCTAGCCCTGTCGGGGTTGCTGTGGTTTTTAAGCTTTGGGGGGGGGGGGGGGGAGACGTGCGGTAGCAGCTAGGTCAATATGGAGCTGGGCAAGTGAGTATACTGTACACGATATATAACACAATACGGTTTGCATGCCCCCTTTTTGGACTGGACCTTTGAGCTCCTTAACCAACAGGGTCTCGCCGTACCTGCTCGTTACATTCCTTTCGAGCTTCATCAACGCGTCACGCTAGGCATACCCCGTCCTACGCTCACCATATTCAAGCCGCCGCTTTGCGCACTCTGTTGCCCTCCCATTCCACCACTGTTGCCCCTGCCGCCGCCGCCGCCCGCCGCCATCATTCCCATACCTCCGGCCGCGCCACCCATCGCCGCTGCTGCCCCTTGCTGCTGCATCCGCTGCATCTGCATCTGCTGCTGCAACAACTGCAGTTGCTGTAGTTGCTGTTGCTGGGCAAGTTGCTGGGCTAGTTGCGGCTGCGGCTGCTGCTGCGGCTGCGGCTGCTGTTGGGACATTTGTTGCCCCGCGGCAACGCCTCCTCCTCCCGCCGCCCCCATCATCATGCCAAGGTTCCCAACACCGGCCTGACCTAGCCCCCCACCCCCCTCTCCCAGCCCCACAGACCCAAACGCATCCGAAACCTTGTCCACTGCTGCTTGTCCTCCACCCCCTGCTGCTGCCCCCGCTCCCCCGAAGCCGCTCCCGGCTATTGCCACGCTGCCACCCTGTGCACTTCCCATCGTCATGCCCCCCCCTCCCTGTGCTGCCACTCCGCCGATACCCCCAACAAGCCCTGCACCGCCACCGCCACCGCCACCGCCGCCGCCACCCTGACGTCCCTTGCTGAGCATAAGGATCCGGAGCTGCTCGAGCTGCTGCTGCTGCGCTTTGAGCTGTTCCGCCAGCGTGGCCTCTTTTCCGGCGCGCTGCGAGCGCGGCCCCGTGGGCCGTTGGCGAGACGACGGGAAAAGCCCACGGGGAAAAAAAAAAAACATACGGGGTACGGAAAAGAGCGACAGTCACGCACGATGAGAAGGTGGAAAATGGACAAGATAGTCTACATGTGTAGCAGGTACTCTTTGCGAAGTGGAGAAAAAAAGGGGGGGGGGGGGGGGGGGTT